GTACGCTCAAAAAATGGGACAGGAACCTAGAGGCAATGGAGCAGAGAATCGTCCAAAGATGCTCGCAACTCATGCAACAGCAAATAGCTCAACAAATGGAGCAGCTCTAAAAGCAGATGATGCAGCAGTTCGCGGACATGCAACAACACCAATGTAATCGCAAGCCCCAAGATGGACAGCAATAATACGATCAGAGTATGACACTGGAACGCAAACGGTTTCAGATGTCGCAAAGCTGTCCTACAGCAGCACATAAAAGCGTTGGAGCCAGAGAAAAGGCTCGATGTGATCCCCATCCAAGAGACGCACTTGGAAGAGAGACCCCAAGAACGCACGATAGCCCACCACCAGCCTGAACATGCGGGAAAGGTGCCGTACAGGGGGTGTGCACGCTAATCAGGAAAGGGTTAGCATACACCAAACACCAACAGTTCCTTTGTAGCAGGGACACCGCAATCGAAATGTACGTAACGGAACTCGCTTTCATGGGACGCAGAAGATTGCGGGGAAGCAGAAAGGGCAAAGGGACCATGTCGCTTCTTCTAGCTAACATTTACAGCAATCCGAGACACAACGGGCAAAAGTTCAAAGCCCTCTTCAATAAAATCAGAACCGCAAGACAAATGGCCGGGAAAGAAATGGCTAAAATGGGGGATGCCATAGCACTAATTTGCGGGGACTTCAATGCTTAGCACGAAGGGCTGGGATAACAGTCACGACGCCGAAGGGCAGAGACCTACTCGAAGACGCCGCAGAAACCGGATTCACGCTGCTAACGAACCCGGCACAACCATCCAGAATCGGTACCTCCACGGCCAGGGACACGAACTCCTGACCTGGCTTTCGTGCTCCTACCCGAGGGCGAAAAGACAAGGTGGAGAAACACCGGGATCAAACTCGGTAGCGACCACCATATTCTAGAGATAGAAGTCTCGTTAGCCCACAGCAACGGCAACCCGGGCAAGATCAAGAAACATAAGATCGTAGACTGGGACAAGTTTAGAAAGCTCGACCCGAGCGTAATAACCAACGTCGAAGAATGGTCCGGGAAACCCAGGGATGCCACAGACCAAACAACGAGAGAAGTTGAGGCCACCGAGGACACCAGCACAATGGATTGGCGACTGGCCCATCTATTGGACGCCAGAAGATCGCTGCAGCGAAGATGGCGAAGACAACGACATAACTGAAAGTTGTGCAAGAAGATCGCCGAGCTAGGCAAAGAAATCGAGCGACACAGCAAGCGGCTCTGCTACCAGCAATAGTTAGCCCTGCGTAATCAGATCGACGGACAACTCCACCGCTGTGGTACATGGAAGATTCTCAAACAGCTTATGGACGAAACGAAGAGCAGGGAGTTCGAACATACCGGCATGGCACAGATTCTCCACACTACGGCTCGCCGCATGAGGGAAGAGGAAGTGAACAAGCAGCTTAATGACCGGTACCTCCCAGAGATGAGCAATGAGCAGCATCGAGACTACGGCGGGCAACCTAACGCCCACCTAGATAAAGACATCGAAGAATGGGAAGTCCGGCTAGCGACGCAGAACATCAACATTCGCTCGGCCGCTGGTCCGGACAAGATCTTCAACAAGGCGCTCCGCTGCTGAGCGACTCATCTATTGCGGCACTAACGAAATACTTCAACGAGTACTGGCAGTCTGGCACTCTACCGAAGGCTTGAAAGACATCGAAGACGATTTCCCTACCCAAGCTCAATAAGCCACTGGAGATCGAGGGCCTGCGTCCCATCTCACTCACGTCCTGCGTGAGTAAGGTGCTGGAGCAGGTACTCAATACACGAAATGACGACTACATGGAACGGCACGGCATCTATCCGGACGCGATGCTCAGTTTCCGGGCTCGTCTGGGCACCCAGGAAGCTATGCTGTTACTGCAGCGAGAAGTCCTGTATCCCCCAGGAGGGCTACTCAGCAGGAACAACCGGACCATCCTGGGCCAGGACCTTCAGGGGCCTTTGACAACGTGAATCATTCTGCAATCCTGGAGCAGATCTCCCGCCTAGGCCTGGGCGAGGGGTCGTACAACTACGTTCGAGCGTTCCTGACGGACCGCACGGCCCGGCTGCAGCTGGGAAGCAAGAAGTTGGAGGAACGACGACTGGGCAGTGTCGGAACCCCACAGGGCTCGATCATCTCATCGTTTCTCTTCAACATTGTAATGATCGAGGCACTGAGCCCGGGGGTCCTGCACTGCCTGTATGCCGACGACGTCACAATTTAGGTCACCGGTGGCAGTGACAGGGAGATCGAGGCCAACCTCCAAGAAGCAGTGGATGCCGTACAAACCGCGATATCGAGCACGGGTCTGCGGTGCTCGCCGCAAAAATGACAACTCCTAATACTGCCATCGTCTGGTCGCTTCACGAAGGCGGCTAACCAAGCAGCAGCAGAGAACATTGTGGTCCGAACGAGAAATGGGGCGCCGAGCCCGCAGGAGCCCAGACTGAGAATCCTGGGGATGTACATGAATGGAGTCCGAACGAACACCACGGCGATGAAGAACATCTTGACGAAGATCGGAATCGCCACTCGCCTGGTAAAGCGGCCGGGTGTCGACGAGATATCAAGGCATGAACGAGAGAGCGTTCCTGCGTCTGTTGCAAGCCTTCGTAGTCCGCGAAGCGGCATACACGGGAGCCTTCCACCGTTGGACCAAAAGACGCTGCCATCAGGAAAGCATACAGAAGTGCACTGGGCCTGTTACCAGGCACGATAATGTCGGCTTTGCTGGCTATGGGAGTGCACAACCCACTCTCGAAAATAGGCGAAGCTCAATGAACAGCGCAACTAGCCCGCCTGAATGGCACAAGGATGGGCAAAAGTATCCTGACTTGGACCGGGCTCAGCTTACCCGGAAACGAGAAGGCTGAGAACAATGAGCTGTAGGACCAAGTACCCATAAGGAACGAGGTGGCGAAGGGCATCATCGTGTTCACACTGCCAAATAATGTCGACCCAGAACGAGATTCGGAGCGGCGCAAGGCAAGGGCGGCGGCCCTAGCAAGACAGTTCCAGAGCGACGAGAATGCTGCGTTCGTGGACGTAGCCAAACACCCAACGAGGAAAGAAGTGTTCGCGGTGGCAGTCATCCGGGCGTCAACGGGTGAGCTGATCATTGCAGGTAGAGTACGAGCCAAGACCCCGGGCCAAGCAGAGGAAGCAGCGATGTATGTCGGGTGATGGGTAGACTTCCCGGCATCAAGACGATCCTGAGCGACTCCAAAACAGCGATCGAGAACTATGCCAGAAGCACAATCTGGAGGGAGGCTGAACGGATTGTGGGGCTCGCGAACCTCGGACGGCTCCACTACCGGACCGACCATCACCATGAAATGGTTCCCCCGCCCACGTGGGGGACCTGCTAAATGCGGTCAACCGCAACGAAGAAGTAGACGCAGCCACCCGTGAACTCATCGAATGCCGGGATGGTAGCGTGGCTCCTCGTACGGAAGAGAACAACTAACACGCGCCGGAACCCCTGACCGACTATGGTGGCGTTCTCACATGATTCAGGGAGGGCAGAAGAGTCTATCCGGCGCTGCATAGAGATCTCTCTGGTGCCGAATTAGTGTTACTCAGATACTTACAGGTGAAGTGCGTATGATCCCTGGCATTGGCGCGCCACATCTGCCCTTAGATGTTCGTAAGCTATATATGCAGTGTTTGTGAACAAGAACTTGCGACACTCGAATAAATTGTGCGGTGTGATGATGCAGTGCAACCGAGCAGTGACGCATCCAGTGGAACTGCCTGTGAAGAACACGTCAATAGTAGAGGCGCAACGAGCGAATGCGAAAATACGAACCTCGTCTCCGAGCAGACCCTACCCTGACAGATGGACCGATGGATTCGCTTTGTGGACTGCCAATCTCAAAAATGGGCGATCCAGCGGCTCGAGGAGGCGCTGGCCAGGTAGAAGAAAATGAGAACCAACGGCCCGTTAAACCGAGCCAAAGGGACCAAAGTATCTGATGCTAGGCCAGACGCAACCCTCGAGATTTAGGCCCAGTGTTCTTGGGACTATATTAGACTAAAGCACTAGAAGGGTAGTCAGAGTCCTGCGCGGCCGGGAACTATACCTGCACGCAGGATCCTGCGAATAAAGTATTTTTTCTCTCACACACACGTGTCGTTTCACGTGTTAGTTTATATGCTATTTCATGCGATGGTTTATATCCACGAGTGAAGCTCTCGCTAAGCAATCACGTATGATTGCTTAGCGTAGTTCACGTAGTTCATTCATACAATAGCTCATTCTTTAGGCGATATAGTTTGTATGTGAGATACGTCCACAAGGCGCACTTCTTAAATATGATTGGTCGTCTAACCACTTCACGAAGTAACCACAGCTGTTCGAATGTATCAAATGTACACCTTCTGACACATTATTAAGGCTTTAGATGCCTCACCAAACGATAAAATTGGGTGTCGGCGACATCGTTGTCCCGCGTCGACAGCGTCAACTCGAGTTATTGCTTTCATTGGATGACAGTCACTGTGAATGATCTCTGCCCATACTGTGTATCCTATACATGTGCACGGTGAAGCTTGCACCACCAGTGTGCTGAGTAAGGAAAACAGTAGCACTGTCCCTTCGGTCACCATCGCGCCAGCAAACAGAAAGGTTAGCCATAGCAGCCGGACATGAACGTTTGAGCGATGTTATTTACAGTGTAAAGCTTATTCGGAGACGCGCTAAATGATGTGCCAAGAAATATAACGGAAAGCGGGTGTTCTCACTAACGATCACATTTTTACGTTTAAGAACATACTAAAGGGTGATGCGCACGAAGTTAACATCCAGTCACAACAATGCCGAGTCACTCGATCAAGGCCGGATCATGAGTATGGATATGGGCTAACGTTACACTCGTTAGAATAATTTTAGAATGAGTTAGACGATTGGCGCGAATGCTCTAAGCGCGCTGCCTGCTGAGCAAGCGCTCTCATCGCGAAAGGGTGTCTGTTACGCAGGAGCAACGCAGGTGGCGCCACCTTCAAAATGCGAGCGCAAAGGAGCAGAGACCGAGGAGAAACGCGAGCGGAGAAGAATGGTGTCGCTACTTTACGAAGTTCTAGGACCATCACCCCACCACCAGCCGCCTGAGGTCCACCTGTACCTGGACGGGGTAACCAAGCACCGAACGCCTGCTGCAGCACTGCAACAGGCCGCCATCTCCAAGCTCCAGCAGCAACTGGCAGGGCGGCTCCAGGTCTTCACTGACGGATCCGTCATGCCAGACGGTTCAGCGGCGGCTGACTGCGTCATCCCATCCCGGGTCATCAGCAGGCAGTGCCGACTACCCTTCCCGGCGAGCTCGACGGCTGCGGAGCTGGTAGGGCTACACCTGGAGGCGGACCTGCTGGCCGAGGACGTTCCGGCGGAACCAGTCACAGTCCTGTGTGACAGCAAGGCAGCCCTGCAGACGCTGGTCAACCATCGCCGTGCCGGGCTCACGAGGAGTCTCCTGGCAACCAAGTAACGAGCCCTTGCAGCAGCTGGGATGTCCGTCTCCTTCCACTGGCTGCCCTCTCACGTGGGCATAGCTGGCAACGAGGAGGCGGACACGCTGGCCAGGGCAGCACACCAGCCGGGAATCCCCATCACCCAAGCCGTCGTGGTGAGAGACTACACGCAGGCCCGTATCAAGAAGCTCCTCGCCTCGGTTCACCCAGACCAGAGGGTGGCCAATAAGCGAGGACCCAGGCGTTTTCCCGAGGCAGGCCTTACCAGGAGAGAACGAGTCAATCTGCTGCGGCTGCGGACCAGATGCGTGTGGACCGCGGCCCGCCGCTACCTCAAGGGATGCTGCGCCTCCCCAGCCTCCAGCCGCTGCGGCGACCCCGAGACCCTTGAGCACCTCATCTGTGCCTGCCCTGCCTTGGCCCAGGAACGCTCGAGGGTCACCGCAGCCTACCAGAGACATAGCCTTCCTGCCACCACCCTAGAACACCTGCTGTTCCCATCTCGTCCCCATCTACCAGCGCTCCAGAGCCTGGTGGAGTTCCTGGACGAGACGGGAATCATGGCCTACCGCTGAGGACGGGCCCCTTGCCACCCCTACCCTTGCTTCTGGACTGCTGCTCGTGCTGATGACGACCGTGCCACTGATCACTTAATCTTTTCTCTTCTTTCCACTTTTCTCCCTTTTCCCTTCCCCGCGGGCACTGCGCCGTGCTCCCGACCGGGTTGCAGAAATTAGGTGCCTTTTCTCATCTAACCACTACCACAACCACCACCAAGTTCTAGGGGTTTTAGGGTACCTCTAGTTTTACCAAAAACCAAGTGCAACTACCGCCACCTAGCATGTGCAGCTCTTGGTCACGTCAGCACACAGAACTGTGACACACTTCCGCACGGATCACACCAAGAATTACTTTACAATAGAAAACCGGACTGCAGTGACGCCAAACACAAAACTTTCAAAGTGTGCACTACGGCAAGCAGCCTCCGAGAAGTATAAACTGCGGGAACAAACACGGCAAAGAAAAAATGGTGGACATGACGTCATCATAACTTGTTTTATGGACTGCAGCGAGGTGACGGGAGGGATGTAGGAGGTCCCCTTTAAAGGTATCAATGGCACGACGGAGTCGAGGGCTCACGTTAACTTCAAAATTAACTTAAAATACGTTCTCAGCTATATTCCTTCTTGGTGTTTCGTGGATGATACACGAATGTTCACGGGAATCAACCCCACAGGCTATCTATCTCGGCCGCAAAACTTTTTGTCAGTACCCCTTCAAGATTGCCCCACCGCGGTGGTGACAAACGTACTCTGTTGCTGACCCACAGATCGCGGGATCGAATCACGGCTGCAGCAGCTGCATTTCCGATGGAGGCGGAAATGTTGTAGGCCCATGTGATCAGATTTGGGTGCACAATAAATAACCCTAGGTGGTCGAAATTTCCGCGGAGCCCTCCACTACGGCGTCTCTCATAATCATATGGTGGTTTTGGGACGTCAAACCCCACATATAAATCAAAACAAAACCCTTTCAAGATTACGCGCACTACGCGAACATTACAATTATTCTGGAACCTACGTGGCCGCTAGCGATAACACTAGAAAGAGCACATGTATTAATGCCGACGCGCTTCACCGCTTGTGAGTTGATCGACCGCCGGCGCTCTGTTCGTCACTGTTCGTCAGTGCCAGTGTGTATCGCTGTAATCTGACTTTCCATTCACTGTTTACAGGTTTGTCCAAATAAACAGTTTTATCTTCGACCTTCAGCCTGCTCAATTCGCCGACGTCACGACGCCGTGATGATATCATGTCATTGCATTCGTAGTGTGCTTATTGTGCGTGCATATACCTGCTTTGAATACAAACTATACTGCCAACACGAACGATTAAGCGAGCGTTCGGAAGCGCACGACCTTATTCATTAGAAACTTCGTAACATTCACGAACGAAAAAACGAAAAAAAAAAAAAAAACAAAAACGGCAGATCCTACGTACAGTGGGAATCTATGATATGCGAAGCACGAATGAGGAAGGTTGATATGTCACTATAAAATCAGCAAAATGTTAGGAGGATGAGGTAAATTATGCCGTACATGACTTACGTGTCATGACTATCATGTTTGGATGTGTCGTTTACCTTCGTGATCTATTCACGTCACGTGGTACCAAATTTAGTATATGTGGAGCTAGCGAAACGGCTGAGAGAATGCTATGAGTGTGGTATGCTGTAATTTTCTTAAATGGCACGCTTGTCAACATTATCATGTTTGCACTAGTCATATATGTTGTCATCCATTGACGTCACGTAACACTGAATTTGGTATATATAGAGCTAGCAAAACGGCCGCGAGCGCATCATGAAGGGCCCGATATACTCCAATGTAGCGTTGACGCGCACGCAGGCTGGGCACAGCAACACTACGTTAACGCCAGGCGCCGTCCGTCGGCGCGGTCCGACGGCGACTAGCGCGAAATGCGATGTGCTGCATTTCGCGCCGATGCGTTACCCAGACAGCACTGCGTCTCCCTTTTTTCGAGACGGAGGGGCACGGGACGCGCTAAAACGCGCATGCGTCAAAGCAACGCAGCGCGGCGCGCCTGCGAGTATACGGCAAAACCGGCGGCGTTACGCGACAAAATGAATGCCGGGGAGCACGCGCACTGCGTCATGTCGAAATGAATTGGTGCGTTGACTGTGGTATGTAGTCATGTTCTTACATGAAACGTATCTCATGATTGTCATGTTTGCACCAGCCACATACCTTCATCATCCATTGACGTCACGTAATAGAAAATTTGGCATATGTGAAACTAGCGAAACGGCCACGAGCGCATCATGAGTGTGGCATGTAGTCATGTTGTTACATGACACGCATGTCATGATTCTCATGTTTGGATGTGTCATTTACTTATGTGGTTCGTTCGCGTTGCGTAATGCCGAGTTTGGTACATGTAAAGCTAGCGAAACGGCCGCCAGCGCATCATGAGCGGGGCATGTAGTCATGTTACAAGACACGCATCTCATGATTTTCATTTCAGGATTGGTTATTTGCGTTTGGCATTCAATCATGCCATACCATACACATTTTGCAACGTGCCATGTGAACGAAACCACCGCAAGAGCTGCAGGACCATGAAATGTAAATCATGGCATTAATGACATACATGTCATGATTTCCATGTTATGTCTAGTCAAACATGTTCTTCATAGTCATGTTATGCCAAGTTTGGTATCGATACCATTATCGAAACGGCCTCGAGAGCTAAAAGTCATAGGCGGCTAGATAAATAGATAGAGACGCTCAAAATCACTGAAGTTTGCTAAGAAATCCTTCGCATTTAAAAAGGGAGCACTCCTATTGCAATCGAGACTAGGATTTGCTTCATCGCAAGATATGCTGGCCCAGGTATAGCTCTGTTCTATAATAAAGTGAACAGCATGCGTATTTAGCTTTTCACGCGACAACAGAACTCAATAAAATACATGCAATCGGCAGCACGAGTTACACCGTAGTTACCTCGAAAACTGTTGGGGCCTTGCCTGTAGCAGTGTATATCAACGCAGCAGAAAAGTGCTAGCACCTTTCCGAGAGGCCTACTGCGCATGAGGAGTTGCTTTCTTCAACCTCGGGCTCGCTAGGCAGGTTCTTCAACTTGAAGTAAATTTATGCGGTTCGCCGATGAAAGTTGACGTTTGCGCGCACAGCGCCACGATTTCCGCTGTTTCTCGAGTGAAAGCTTTTAGGCCGCTGAGAATGGAGACAGTCCGTGGTCAGTTACTTTACGCCTTTGACGAAGCAACGCGATCCGACGCCGCAGTCAAGAAACTTCAGCCTAGCTCCAAGCAAAAGTGCTGTGTTGACTCCGTTAAGCGCAGCCATCTTAGTTTTTTGTACCAGTGTTGCCAACACATGGAGGGTTTTCTGGAGTTGCGAATCACGGCCGTATCGCTGACACAGCAGGATATATCGAAAAAAAAAAAAAAGCTATCTTTGCTACATAAGCTGGCATGAATTATTGACAGCAGTATAAATCAAGGCATGGCCACTAAAAACCGACTTCATGACGGAGTTCTCTAGCACTCTCTGCATACTGCCTACTTCTGTCGGTATAGTGTAGTTTATTTCGATGAACAGGTTTTTTATACGAATGCGCTCGGTGTGTTTTGCCGTCGCCGTCATGTTTCGTATAATGTCCAAATCGGTAACATCGCCCTGCACATTGTGTGTTTTTCCCGTGCCTAAAAGCGCATGAACGCTGGCCAAGAACACGGTTGCAGCATACCTTGCCAGCCATCTCCGTCGCACAGAGGCGCATGCGATAACATTACCCAGTTGAAGTAATGTAGCGGACACAGGGCAGGACCACAAGAAAAACGGGGTTTATTCCAAAGGCAAACGATTGTCGTCTTCATCAGTCCACGAAGAGCTGAGACGATGCGCCGTGCAGTTGCGCCTAGCCGCAGTTCTGCAATTAGCGCGATGCACCTCAGACTCTCGGGCCACTCGAGCGTTTACAAAAATTCCCATTATAAACCGTGTCCTCGACAAATGTGCTGAAATTCAGCCAGCTTGTTTGTGAACCCACAAAACACAGATTATGAGCGAAAACTGGGTGTCATGATCCCCTTAAGCTGTTTTTTGTAGAATATGAAGGTGCGGTCTTTTGCCTACACAACTATCAATGTGCGACTAATGTATCAGCAGTATTTGCCCAAAAACCCCTCAATAATAGTGGTCTCGAACAAAAACTTTACACACAGCAGCGAAAGCACCAGACAAAGACAGAACAGTACCAAAGCACACACACACACACACACACACACACACAGAAAGCTACATGGTCATAAAGACTTCCACTTCAATCTTTATTAAACGACACAATAAAGTGCACCTTAACCATGTTGCAAAGAATAGTCAATATTCGCTTGCACTAGATTATATTTCAACATTGTCCCAATACAACGACAAAAAGAATTAAAAACACAAAGAAACAACATCAATTAAAGTGACATCAATAACTTAATTGAACATTACGAGATTGAATTCGATAATTACACCCAGACATACTTCACTGGGTAAACACATCATTATAGCCAACACGGCTGTTAAATTAGGCCAGCCAAGCTAGCAAAAAAGCAAACAAATTTGCAACGCCCAAAAAAAATTCCGAACGTAAAGCACTTCACATACAGGCAGTCCGCAGGAATTGTGTCACGTGAGCTTGGAGTAGATAGACGGAGCAACTTTACGATGAAGGTACTTGAGAATGTAGAGCGGTAAACAGCTCACCAACGTGATCACCGTAACTTTCCACAGAAATGCAGGTGTTCGAATGAATTGGGTATCTAAAAAGAAAGAAACTTTATACAACAACTGCACCACTGTGTAAGTAAAAGTAAGAAAGACAGCACCAGCCATGCCTCATGGTACTGTTGAAGTTGATTATATTGAGCACCGACACAGCTAATAATCAGTTATACCAAACTAAATATGAACGTTGGCTGTTTATGTATAAAGAAACTAAAAAAACACATGAGCTGCCGCAGCATCAGCTGTAACAAAGAAATAGTTGGTTCACACGAGGCCCAAAACTCATAAGGAAACATAAAAAGAAACAGATATATTGAAAAGTAATTCACAACCACATTTTCTTTAATTGTTTGAAGACCTCGTGAAAACTCGATCGTCCAAAAAAAGTGCATTTGACTGGCTGCACCACTGTATGAACAAAACGGGGAACTTTGCTTTGGAAAAACGTTTACAATAGTGGGTTTGAAGCCTTGAATAATGCGTCGTTGTATCGATGTATCGAAGATGTTTTCACAAGCCAGACCGCTTACTCCTCGTGAGATATGATTTTTACTTCTACCGTTACAACGAATATCAGATAAAACAAACTAATTTGTGGCCCCGACGCTACTCTGTTATTATGACCTTTGATTGTAACGAAGGATTGTAAAATGCAAAGCAGATCATTCGTTGAGCTCGTACTCTGAAAATACCTTCCATACTGCAAAACATTACACTATATCTTGCATTTTGACAAAGCCCGTGACTTGCCATTGTGAGTTCTGCGTAGCTGTGGTGAGTAAAAAAACATTTTGCATCGTGCTGCATACAAAGTTGAACCCTATGCATACTAATAGTAGCTCCCACATCAGTCCACTAAGCAGAGTATTGATACACAACACCGAACCACTTTAATGAAGGCCCTGCAATTTTTTACAAACTGTTCGACACTCTCCGTTTTGTTGGCCACGGCGAAATAGGCATTCTTCCTCATGATACTTGCAGCCAATAAATAATTTTGTGAATTGAGCAAATCAGTCCACTTGCAAAAAATGTAGCAAATAAATAATTGAGCACTGAAGTTGATATTTACTTCTTCCATAACTAACAGCATTGACTAGAATATATTGTACCATGTCAGCTCTACTTCAGAGAAGTACCCCCAATTCATCATACTGCCCATTTACTGAGCTGCTTTTTACGGCAAACTGAAATAAAAATTTTGAGGTGACTGCACTTCATTTTAAGGTGGTGAAATTTCGATGTAGTAACCTAGTGTGATTTTTTGTGACTTTACTGTACTACTCAGCTTTAACTGCATTATAAATGCCATTTTCTGACTTGAACATTCGAGAAAACGGAAGCACGTCAAATTCATACATGAACACTTTGATACAATAAGACTTCACTACTTGGTACCACAAGTTGGACAGAACTCGTGAGTTTTATAGTGCCTACACTAACTTTTTG